CGCGGCACGAGCGAGATTGTCACATCCCTCATTTTCCCTCCCGCTTAAAATCGTTGGGGTGAGGCGAGTCGGAGCCCAGTCTGCCTGGGGGTCCTGGCGCAGAGAACCGCCATAATTTTGGAGGTACCGGTTTGTTTTTCTTTGTTTTCCTCCAGAAAAATGAGGACGGTGTGAAAATGATTTTGTGGGCCACAGCTATGGTACTGCCAGCCCAAGCTGGGGGGGTGGTGGGAGGCGGCGGGCAAAAAAAATTAACTGCGACTCCCCTGAGGCACTGCAGCGGCACTTCAAAATGGAAAAATTCGGGGTTTGCCTCATTCGACAAAAGGCCTGGCTTTTTCCGGTGGGAAAGATCAACTGAAAATCGACATTTTGTCATTGTTTGAATCAAAAGTGTCCGTGCAAAATCTCCAATCCCCCCCTCCCCAGCTTTGCTGGTGGGTGAGATGAAGATAATTTCCCTCCGCTGCTGATGGAAGCACTGCAGGGCTGGAAATCCAACTTGGCCCTTTGGAACGGATTTTTTTAAAAGCGACGACGGCACCACCCGAGGCCGAGCAGCACGTCCTCGCGCAGCCAGACAAGCTCCAAACCCGCCGTGGGACCCGAGGAGGTGATTCCTGCTAAAACCGAGCCGCTTTGCGGCTTTAAATGCAACGAACGTCGGCGGGAAGAGCGAGGCTGGCAGGGGACTGACTCCGTGCGACGGGATCGGGGGGGGGCTGGCTAATGAAATATCGTTAAGGATCCACAGACGCTTGTTTTTGGGGTTTTTTTGATTAAAATTGAGTTTCCCTCAAAACACAGAGTGGGTAAAACTTCAGGACACCCTCCAAGTCCTCGGGTGCAGACCCAGCTCCCGTGGGCAGGTTTTGCTGCGGCTTCTCTGGGTCTTTTATTTTCCGGATCAGCTCAGCCACACGCCGATGCACGTCCCCCCTTCTTGTTGTTGGGGTGTTTTTTTGGTTGGTTTTTTTTTTTTTTTTTAATTTTTGTTTTATCTTTCAAACCTCTCTTCCCAGACTGTGGCGTTAGCGATAATATCCCAGGCATTTCCCAGGTGTCTCTCCGTTCGTTCTTCCGCAAGGCAGAAAAAAAAAAAGGAGGGAGAAGGGGGTTTGCCTGTCATTGAGCCGGCGAGGGGGGGAATAAATAGCAAAAAAAAAAGCTGCTTTGGCTCAGCTGCTCGGCTGGGTGGGTGCCTGGGTGCCTGCACGCACCCGGGGTTCCTCACGCTGCTTCTCCTTATTTGGCTGGGAGCGGCAGCTGACAAAGCCGAGCAAACCAACGCTGACACGCTCGTCGGCATTTGTCGAGCAGATCGCAGCTATTTTTATAGGAGACGCTTTGCCTACATCCGAACTAAGAATCCAGGGCCGGACCCGATCTCCTTGAAATGTAACGAGAAATATCTCTTCTCGCACGCCCCCCCCGCCCCCCCC